GTGTCTAAATTAGCTATATTGACATTTTATGCCAATGCAATTAGTTAAATGAATTCTATAAACAATGTTTCTAAATATTCTCTATTTATAAAGTAATTGCAGTGCAAATACAAAACTATGTTTGACACCAGAATTAGTTTTTTTTGCACCATTCAGTTATACAATTTAACTCGTTGTATTATTATTATTATAGTAAACATGAAAAGTTAGTATTATCTAATATTTTAGATTTTATATAACCTTGGTTGGTGCGGCTTATCTATAGACTGTATGTTACATACAGTGTGTAACATACCGTTATTCAACGTCTAAAAAAGTATAAGATGTTTAATGCATTTTAAGTGTTTGAAAACAATTATACTAAACAATCTACTGTATATTAATTTAGTGCTTTAAATCAACTTGTTATAAAATATTTTTGTCTATAAACTATTTTATTTTAATCAATCATTTCGGTTCGCCCAACACAATAGAGAGAGAGAGAGAGAGAGAGAGAGAGAGAGAGAGATATGAGAGAGAGATATGAGAGTATTTAAAATAATAGAATAAATAAATCTAAATTATATTTAATCATTTAATTGGTGCTTATGTTCAACATTAGTGGTTAAGATTTATACACATTATAAACATTTCAATAACCTTTTCCCAAAAATTATCAATTAATTGGTATAAAAATCAGGAATAATATTATCAGAAGTTAATAAATAAAGTTCAACAATTCAATGTTCTTTACATTGTATAGCAAATAATTATCAATTCTAATCAAAATCAAATTCATATAAAATAAATATATGTTTAATTTTGAATTCAATTTGTGTACAATTTGTGAATATATTGTTGTTTTTAATTATCTATATTTGTCCTAATTATCTATGTTTATGTAATTAATTAAAATTAATTAATAATTATAATATTAATAATGTACATGTACTGTAAATCTAACTGTATGTGTTACTTTGACTAAAATATAAATATTGCAAAACACTAATTGTATCTAATATCTACTGAGGATATAAAAACAGTAAAACTACAATAAGGTATAAATTAAACCTAATGCTAAATAGATTTATTAATTACTGAATAATAGAAATGTCATTTTTGATACTTTTATTTCAAAGCTGGTTTTATTTGATAAAACATTCTTGTGTTTAGAAATTTTGTTGAATAGTCGTAAAAATATTAATAAATTGTTAATAATAATGTCACCATGTCTGTTTATTCTGTTTACAATGAAATTTGTATACATTTACATAAGAACTTACATTATTCAATAAAAATAATTTTTTAATTAAACATAACATTATCATAATGTGTGTATTATAATTGATATATGGCAATGTGTCTAAAACAGTAATTTACCATTCATGTTGTGAGGGTTAAAATAGTATTTAGATTTACAATAATTAAATTTCTTATTATTAAAGTATAATTAAAAATTTTAAAGATTTGTAAGATTTTTATTATTTAAATAATTAAGTTACATAGTATTTGTCTGAATAAGAATAACAGAATATGATAAAATTAACCCAATTAATGACATTAATGTTTTGATATCTATGCGATATATACCGAGTGCTGTGAATCCCATTTCATTTCTTATAAAATTTAAAGCAAATATAATTGAGTTGTCATTAAATTGAATATTGGTTTCTCTTTCTGAGGATTGAATAACAATTTTATTAATTAATTGATTCAAAGATTTAGGAATAATATTACAAACAATAGTCAGAAATAAAAGTGATAATATATTTTCAATAAGAACTCCACAGGAAACTGATTTAGTACCTGAAGGTCCTATAGATATCATACATAACAATGAAATACATTTCAATGTATTAAATACTAGTGATATAAAAATATTTAAAGACATACAACTATCGAGTGATTTAATAAAACAGTGAGTTTTGATCACAAAATGATTTACAAACTTCATATCCAAATGAGACAAATTGTTTGCAATGTATTTGAATTGTTGCGAAACAATACAACTCTGGTATGCAATCAATGATATAAAACTTATTTGAATATTAATTGAAATGAAATAAGTTATCGGCGGAACTATTATACGGTAAAAATTAAATGAATATACTTTTGAAATAATAATTGTGTGGAAAATTAAAAATAGTGCCGACACTATAAAAGTAAAAATAAATGCTATAAAAGTGGTGTAAACCCCAACTTTCCGTTTATATCTGTCGTCGATATAAACAAATGATTGGCTTTTCATTAGATTTAGGATTTGTTTTCTCTTCACAGCAATAATAATAGACATAATAATAGTCTGTATAATATAGCAAAACTCTTCTGCCGTAAAAATAATCATCATTAACTTGTTTTTGGTAAAGTTAATACCAAACGATTCGCTGGTATTTATAAAGTAATTTTTCAATTCGTAATAATATTGATAATACACTATAATTATTATAATAAAATTCCACAGAATATGCATTAATTTTTGGATTAGTCTTTCATTTTCATTGAAACCATAGCTTAGAAATATATTTCCACAGATTTTATGATAATTTATTAGAAATCCTAAACCTCTTAACAAAGGTTTACTCATTTTGAAAATAAAGTTTTACTAATTTCTTATCAGTTTTCATCACCAGTTAATTCATATTTATAATTCTTGTTATACAAATTTCTTATTACTTATTTTATTTAAACATAAACCCAATTGCATTGTTAAATGTTTATATTGATATAATGTAAATATTGTTTATATTGTATGAAAAACTCATTATTTTGATTAAATTTTTTTCTTATGTAAAAACTAACGTAAAAATAAGTTATTTTACATATAACTTGATTAATTAAAATATGTCACATTTAACTAAAATTTATTGATTATTTGTATAATGAAATCAAAATGCTTTGCTTTACATTAATTTTTATTAAAATATAAAAATAAATGAATGTATTTTCAGAATTAGTGCTTTTTGTAATAGTTTGAATTACAATTATTGCTATTTTATACAAATTATAAAAACTAATTTATTTGTTTATTATTAAAATTATATATTTATACAGTGTATAGTGTGGGCACTAATCTACAGTACATTAGGGTTTAATTATAGAAAGCGTATTACGCCTTCGGGAAAGTAACAATATTTTGGTAAAGAAAATTTAAAATTATATTTTTAATATAAAGCAACAATTTATTTCATATAATGTATTGGTCATAATAATTGCTAACTATTGACCATTTTTTGGACAGGTGTTCAATGACTTCAAATTAAAAATGGCTGCACTGAGAGCCAAAGAAGTGAGTCATGTCTATCTCGACCACTACTTCTATTTTGCCATTTCTGTCATAAAGGACTGACTGTGGAGAAAGTTTAAAATAGTCATCTCATAGAGGGATAACTAGAGTATGTTTTGGGTCTGAGAGAAATTGTACCAAAAATTTATTAAATTTTTTTTGGTTGAATTTCTAAAAATCTTGTCTAAAAATAGGCTAATAATGGCAATATTTTGGGTATATGTTCCTATATCGGTTCCTGGAATTTCCACAATGACTTTTAAATAATTACAACTAGTTGGACGGCCTAAGCTTATGTATGCCAACAATATCATATATAAAAATTGTTACTATGATTTACCCCGGTCTTTTGCCGAAGCATTTTTCACTTCCCGGGGTCGGCGGGTTCGGGAATGGTTATTGGAGTCATGATTACCGGATTTTACCCTTTTAAACAATTCATGTCATTGGTTGATAGATAATACATCGTCTAAGACCAATATATTATTTTTGTAAGTCTCTTGTGGAGTCCCCTTGATTAAAAGCTAAAATAGACCAAATTTTGGAATTTCTCGGTATAGTTTATTTCGCGTTAAATCAATAGTTTTTAAAATAAATTTAATAATTTTTAAATACAGAATTAAAGCTAAATAATAGATGTATCAAATAATATTTACAAGGGTTTGTTGATAGTAGCCACAAAAATTTGGCAAGCATCTAAACATAAGGTTATTAAATACTATTGAAATATAAACGAAACCCCGATATTAATAAGTACTTATAAAGAGTATTTACAATAAATATCATTACAATAAAATGCCAAGTATTTTAACTTTCATGTATTTTGTTTAACAGAATATAATTTAATTAATTTTATTTTGAAAAATTATGTCTAGAGAAGTGACGGCATTCTCTCCAACAACGATATCAATACAATCGCTAACATTAATGAAACCGTCGGATAAATGAGAGAATATTACTCCACAACTCGGACCCAAACCCTTCTTCTTTGTCACTCCAGTCGGCGCACGAAATCTTGGGATCAAATATAGTTAGAGAGAGAGAGAGAGAGAGAGTCACAAAATAATCATAACTTTTACATACGTTTTCAACGCCACTAAAGTCTCCATATTTTTAACACCGGTTTCGGTGTTAACTGTTGTGGACGGACAACGATCGCAGTTCATTAGTTGCATAAATTTGAGCTTGTTAATTCGCATCCACAGCCACTTGTCTTCAGCCCAGGGGTGCGGGTAATCGACCAAAACGTTTGGCCGGAAATTCTCATAAGTCACGTGATCGGCGCCTTCTGTGAAGCGTGAGTTGAGATCACGCACTGAACTCTCGTTAATCAAATGGAGACCCGATTTGTTTTGATAGATAATGGGATAGAGTTTGTCATCGGATCTCCTTTGGTCTGAATTGGTGTCTCTGTAGTCAAGGCTCGGGTGATGTTGTAGTAGACGTATACCCGGTTTACCCAGAAATGTTTGAAACCAATCGTTTGCCTCATCGCTGCAAACTATGCCTTTTATGTGCTGTCCGTACACTCTGTTAACATAAGATTATAATTTATATCAATTATAGTTATTGAAGTGTTTAGACATGTTGTGCCGCACATACATTATTTTAATGTTTGCGGTATATATTTAGTTAAATTACCTAGTAGATATTAGATTGTGATTGCTGTTAATTTGTTTAATGTATCTAAGTTTAAGAGTTGGCATATCGGGCGCGTCCACCCATATCTCATCGCTTTCAATGCGAGTGCGGGTGAGCGCAAGTCTCGGCTCGTGTTTAATGCCAATCCAGCGATTGGACTCGTTTAATAGAATCCACGATCTTTACATACAATTAAATTAAGTTTAATCATTTTGAAGTAATACAAAATAATCATTAATCAACTCTCTCTCTCTCTCTCTCTCTAACTATGATTTACCCCGGTCTTTTGCCGAAGCATTTTTCACTTCCCGGGGTCGGCGGGTTCGGGAATGGTTATTGGAGTCATGATTACCGGATTTTACCCTTTTAAACAATTCATGT